ATTCCGGCTAACACAAGCAGCAATGACTATGGATCCAGTCCATGATCCGATATGTGCTGGTGTAAGTTTATCCATCTTATACAAGTCATACCACGACCTTTACTCAAAGAACCAATGATAAAATGCGATTTCTATATGAGAAACCCGTGTACAATTTTTTCATTTATACTCAGTTACTCAAACCTGCTTTTAGCGCATGCACTGGAATGCTAATCATTTGCATATCCCAGCATGCAGTACGTACCTTTCATGTAAATTTGACATTTGTCGCATGCCACCTTCGTGGTATAGCAATTTTTATTTTCAGCAGTGAGGAATCATCATGAACTATCAAGAAACGGAAATGTTATAACACAAAATTTTTTTCTTTAATGAAATCTTTCTAAAACAATACAATTAGTGTAATTTTAATTACCTCTCTAAAACCCCAGATAATGTTGATATTCACATATCGCACTAGTCAAACATGGACCGAATTTTAAATATATTCAGATCATGGCAAAGTACTTGATGGCTGTCTGACTAATGGGACAAATGCTTTCGTGGGCCGAAATTTCTCCTTTCGATAGTGCTAAAAATGTGTGCGTGTAACCTGAGCTACAGTCAATGTGCAAAGATATTTCAATTCATATTTTTTAGCCGAAGTTTCATATTTGATATATTGGATTACTGATATTCCTTGCATTCAGAACTGTGTGTGCCCCGTATGATACACTTATTGATGGTGTCACTAGCAACTTAATCCAAAGGGAACCAATAAAAGTAATCCTTTTCTGGTTTAGGTAAGGAAGACGGATCTAGTCGAACAATGATGTGAAGAGAGCTGTATCAGATTTTTACAGTGTACAAACATGAATAAATTAAACTCTCTATTTTTCATAACCATGGATGACAGATTGCGTTACAGCCCATTTATCTTCCACTCGATCTGGTAAGTACTGCCATTTTTATCAGGCATAATATATTTATTATTTTTTATTATTATTCGTTCGTATTTTTATTATTAGTAACCATGCGGGCTGGCTAATTGCAAATTCACAGAAATGTTGCCATCGATATGCCACAAATCATTAATTTATCTTTCAGATTAAAATTTCGCTTAATTTATTGACCAGTGTAAAAGCAATACTTATTAAAAATTTATATCTTTATAGTTTTCATAAATATTTGCATCATTATTGTAATTAATAAAAGATGTTTTAATACTATATACCTCTGTATAGAATAATTGCCTTCGTGCCGCATAATTAGGAAGTTCCTATGTAATATACAATATATGTCATATTTTTTACAAAAAATGTATTTAACTAGTTTTATCAGTATGATTTGAACTAACCTTTAGATAAATAATATATCAGGAAATCATGTTTTCCTCAGAGCATTTACAGGTGATTAGAAAATTTACAAAGAATATGCTCACAATATTCTTCAACACTGACACAAATAATCATATCTTTCTCTTTATTTACAATGACGTGCAGTTGGGAGCACGTCCGATTAGCAGTCAGTTATTCCGGAGTTCGAATCCCGGCGAGGGCATTGCATTTTTTCTGACTTTTACTGACGCCAAAAATTTTAATTGATTCTACAGTTGCGCTCGAACTAAAATGCGGAGGACGATAATTCATAATCACCTGGGACGAGAGGGTCTTCCCCTCTCCAGCCGCCCTTTAAGTGGGGGAGAATGTAAGAGATTTTTCTCCCTCCTTACTATGTGTCTTCGACGTGTTATTGAAAACATGTTGTGCTTGCAATCGAGAGGTCCGGAGTTCAAATCCCAGACCAATTGTTGAAATTCAGTTCGCAGCTTTCTCATGTTTCCTGACTCCAAACAATTCTCAACCATGGTGCCGCTACCACCATGGAGTAAAGAACTAAATAGAGTGGACATTGTGCACCCGCTCTGAGGCCAGAAACGAAAAGATTTACCCTATAGTCCCTTTCTTTTATCAGTCCTCGTTCTTTCTTTCGTCACAATGGAATGCTACGTGTGTTGACAACAACCTCGAGAATGATTTCGATATTTTTTTAATTTAAAGTGATAGAGCTGTTTGTTATTCTGATAGTGGATATTCAGAAAGACTTGATATATAAAAAGGATAATTTAACATACGTCATTTTTACACTCAAAGTAATTTATATTTTCCTTTGTATTTGCATTTACTCTGCTTTATTTTATGTTAGAATTCCTTGATCGTTACCATTTATGTTTTGAGAGTTTATGTTTATATTTCATTTTGGCGATAAGATAATTCTGAAAACGACGAATGCGAGATTAATTAAATGCTATTTCCTAAATTTTACTGAATAATATGTCGAAAATGATATCTCATAGTATAGCCAATTAATGATTATTTTAATGATTACCTAAAAATAAAAATTGTCATGATTTTAATTACGTAATTTTAAATTAATTAAAATTATCTTTGTGTTAAATTAATTAAAATTAATACTCTTATAGACAACACATGTTTTTTTTTTTAGACTAAACCAAACTTTGAGAAGAAAAGGAGATTTTTTCAATACAAAAATTCAACTTTAATATTTGAATCCATTAACTTTCGATCAAGTTGTCTTATTAAACGAGTAACATTTTAAACGCAATATCAGTTTTTATGTTATACGTTAATCACTATTTAGTCATCATAATAAAGTACATTTTGAGAATTTTCATATCGATGAGATAATTATTTAAATGAAAAGGCTAACAGATTGTGTAGTTTAGATTGCCTTCATGGAATGTAATTTTTAGAATTTCGGATGAAAGTTGTACTTATATGATAAATCAGTACTCTTGTGTTTCATGGAATAATTTATTACGTTCATTTTCGATAAGTATAGAAAATAATTCTAGAAGTTTTATTATTTTATCCAGAAAAAAAATCTATGATTTTATTCAATTTTTGTAGAAAAAAAAAACTGGCTATTATTTTACGAGTTGTGATACTGGGGAGTTGGTAAAACAGAAAAACTCTGTCAAGTTTACCACATTTTTGTATTCCTTATTAATATTACATCTGTGTACGATTTCGAATTTACTAGTAGCCTTAATTTATCCGGTATAATGTAAGTAGCACAGGAGAACTAATCAAGTTACATCTCCAAATGTATTACCGAATTTGAAAGACATTAATTAATAGCTTATTTTACGCTTATTGAAACTCCTATCGCGTACGTTTTAATAGTGTTATGAAAAATTTGTAATTTACTTAGAAAGCGATGCTTTATTATTATGTTTAAAACACTGAAAAACAGATAGAGTTATAAGCAAAAAGCAGTTTGACTGGGCCGATAAAAATGAGCGGAGCAACGAAACTTCTTAGCTGAGAGGCTTTACCATAGTCGTACAGCGAGGGATACTCGTAGCCACTACATTTACTTCTTAGCACCATGCAAATAATCTACTATCGGAAGTGATATCTCAATAAAAATAACACTATTTTAGGACATAACTAGTCTCCATAACACATCAGTCTTAAATGCAAGAACCTGAAGTGTGTGAAGAATCTATCGCACATAATGCCGGACAGTTGAGTGGGCATTATTAACCCTCCCCCCCCAATTAAGAAATTTTAGTACAAGAACTTAAAAGTATGTCTAGTACATTCTGAGTTGGAGGTCATAGCGTTTAATCAGCCAGTTATAAAAGAGATGAGTTTGAGTAAGTATAGGATCAAAATACAATATAAAGTGAAATATCACGATCAGATTACCACTAAAACTAATACTTCATTGATTTTCCCAAGCTAAATAGGGTATGCGAGAAGTTAAAGCCTGCGGAATACTGATATATCAAAGCCAGGCAAATGGGCTGGCTGCATGGTTGGCTTGGTTCGTGGTTTTTTCCATGTGTAACCTGAATGCGAGCCAGATTTTCTCCACAAAGGGATCCCTCCTCTTAGGCAGATAGCTGCCTTCGTATGCTTTGTCGTGTTCAAATAATCATTCAGCCCAAGCTAGGTTTCAAAAGTAATGAGAACATCCACGTGAAGGCAAGCGAATTCCTTTACATTTTAGTTTTTGTAAACTCACAACATTTAATTTCAAAACATTTCCTCATCCACATTGTCTCGAGTCCCGAAAACCGATTTCATTTCTTTCATAATTCGTGGAAGATCGGTCATTTACACGGACATTTATATTTGCGGCTAAAAAAGTAACATGGACCTATGTCTAAAAAACTGGAGGTTTAAAGGTGCTGCAAACAACGAAGATGCTGTGAAACTCTGCAGAATCCAATATCTGCACTTAAAAGTTCATGCAATAATAATAAGAAATTTTAAGAAAATTAATCATTTGTGTCAAGGAGATTTGTTGTATTCCAACTTGTCAAACAATTATCATATTTTATTACTATGTATCCAGCAATTCTTTCAGGACTCTGTTGAACACTTAACGGCATGATAAGTTTATGTAACCCTCACACACCTCTAACAAATGAGGACTTATTACTGCTTTTGTAATAAATATCTTATAGTAAGAAAAATGGGAGAAGTATCATTTAATATTTCTCGCATTTTATTTGCTACAATGCATTTTGTATTTCCCTAACATATTATACATTCGTGCAAAAATTTTCACCTTAAAATATTATAGTTAAATTTTGGTGGACTTCCCATAAGGCCGTACAAGTTGCATTTGCTGTTCAGAGTTAGTGTACTTGTGACTTGACTGCCATCAGTACAGAGCAGGTATATATTATTCTTCTACCGCTATTTAGCCCTACGTAAACTGTGGCAGAAATGTTCTTTAATATCTTCGAAATATAAATCTTTTGAGTATAAAACCGATTTCTTCACACATTACACATTCATATAAATATTTACACACCCATAAATTGCTGCATGAAAATTAACTTGAAGACGAAAATATAAAGAACAAAAGCAAAACACACATAAAACTTTAAAAAAGCAGTTTTGGGTTTTGGGTATTAAAGATCTTATATATATTCTACTTATGCCAAACATAACACATTTAAAACTCTATTGTTGATTTTTTACCTTCTTCCCCATTTTCTAAAGCAGATACAGCTTTTTCTGTTTCCCATCTGAAAATAGAATAATATTTTATGAACAAAAAATATCATTTATACAAAACAAAAGCAATTTTACATTTCGAAATACTTAAAGAGGAACGCTAAATTGGAACATTATTCGATATTTAGTTAATCTATTTAAAATTCAGACGATAATTGTGTACAAAATTTAGATAATTAATAATAATTAATTGCATTTGAACTTACTCGCTGATAATCATGCCAAGCTTGTCAAATTCTATGCTCTGAGCAAGAAGTGTATTATCTATCTCCATCATTCTCCTCCTGTTTAAAAAAATTACAATTTATTAGAGCAATGTGATGTCAGATTTTGCAAATAATCCTCTCATATTCACGAATAGCATTCATCGTCCATTTAACTTGCGGTTTAATGTATGTAATGAGATGATTCTGGTCAGATTATCATTCAATAGTTGCTGTGCAGCTGTTTTGTAGCAGAAGGATTACTTTCTTTGAAGAAGAGCAGACATACCAAAATATTTTACTTTGCAGAATAGTGTAGAAAAGTTCAAATAATTAGGTTAAATCCACGAGAGCAGATTTTTAATTACACTTTCTTAAGAAATAAGGGGGGGAAGAAATGTATGATTTACTCAGCAGTTCAAAAAGATTGCATGATTTAATATCTTTACCATGGGCTGGTCGTAGAGCCAAATTTATGAAATACATGAAATAAAACAATCTTGCAGACAATGAAAAGATTAGTTACATGGTATCTTTTAATAAAACAAACTTGACACCACATGACTTCCGTTTACAGCCTATTAAATTAATCATATTTTTGCTGCACTCCATTTAAACTTATTTCATTGAATTGCTCTAACTTGGATTACCTATCCCTCGAGGCAAGTTGAATATGCCCACCAAAAACTGCAAATTTTAAAATAAAGTAACCCGCTCAATTTTCCCCCTATGGATGTCAACCTCTTTATAATTCTATTTTTTCATAACGAGTATAAAAGTTACCCAAATATAAGTTAAGGAAGCGGGAGAAAATACTAAATTTTAGATTTCATTATTCGTCGAATTTTTTTTTTTAAATTTTACATTGCCGAAATATGAATATTTACGCCATTTGAAACACTTCTATAATTGAAAGTATATGACTAACGGGTTCGAAAATAAAGATTGGATAAGGATTTTTCAGCCGGCTAAGGTAGCTTGTATATATATGTGATATACCAGCTTTTGTCCAGAATAAAAGATTGGTGAAGAATCATAAATGTAGTCGTAACTTAAATTATCAGACAATAAGTTTAAAAAACAGGATCCATTTATTATTATTCAGAAGAAATAGCAGTTACAAAATCAGATATCCGGAGTAAATAAAATTAATTACTAATAACTTTTTGTATGAAGTTTACTGCATCATGACATTTAAGAAAAAGCCCCCTATATTCCTTTGCGAGTCCTTTATAGCCTCTGGAAAGGTGGAGCTTCCAAGAAATGACGTCAGCCAATCTAGTTCGCTTTAAATATTTCCATAACTATAATATGGAATATTTCTATAACTGTACGTGTAGAAAATCGGGAAAAACAACTTGACTACGGGGCTGTGGATTTAATTCCACGTACTTTCAAATAAGAGAACGTCGCCATTAAAAAATGAAAAGAACATACAGTTAGAATTTTAAGTGTATTCTTGACTATCGAATTTTATTATTACATATATATATGTAAGATAAAAAATATGTTAATCAGGCTTTATAATTCAATTTATCAATAGGCTTTTAATTCCTCATTCTTAATTTCGGTATTCTCTCTAGAAATTGTAATACCTTTAGTAATAACTATCCTGGACTGCGTCATTTCTAGAGTAATCTATGTCGCATGGTTTGCGTAACGCTAATGATGTAGCTAGTTCAGAACTGAAAAATGTCTCAAATTTTCGTCTCAAACTCATCTCGCTCTTCTGATGTCAGAACAAGCCCACAAAATTCACGAAACATTTTGATAACTGAAACCTTTCTAAACTAAACCAAAAACTTCTCTTGGTGAGCTTCAATACTGGATAATTTGCGCACTTTAGCTTCAGCTGTCTTGCTGCCAAGATATTACTCCGCCCTCTTTGCTTCGGCATGCCCTTTTGCATGTTACCTGTGCTACTATCTAAAATATGATACTCTGTATAAAAGTCCTGTGAGGTGCGTATTGCGCCCACTGTCATGTGTGACGAAAAATATGTTTCCAATAATTAGTTCGTATCATCTTTCTAACACAACGCAGTTAAGTCTCCCCAGAATGTAATGCAAAGAAACATCGTCTGTCTGTTACAACTTAGTACATGTCATCTTATAATATGTATATATTGGGTCATATAAAAAGTCTCCGCGTTTTTTTGCCACTAGATTGTGTTGATGCCTATATATCCGGCAACACTCACTCTATTGTCTCAAGCGAGCATGTGCTTAAAAGGTGACATTCAGCTTTCATTATCTGTGAAAATAGTTTTTTATTTCGTTACATGTGTAAAACGTTATATTGATTTGAAAATGAATAAAATATCTGAAGAAATACGTTATGTGATGCTTTTTTACTACAAAAAAGGTAAAAAGGCTACAGAAACGTGCCGAAAAATTTGTGAAGTGTATGGTGAGAATGCTGTGAATGAAAGGACCCAGGAGTGGTTTGCTCGATTCCGTTCCGGAAGTTTCGATATCAAAGATGTACCTCTGGTCGGTCAGTCACTGAAAACGTCGATGAAATTTTGCAAGTAGTGCAGCAAGACCGGCACGTAAGCTGTCAGGAAATAGCAGAGGCACTAAACATCAACCACATGACAGTTTGGAATCATTTGAAAAGAACAGGTTACAAAAAGAAGCTCAATGCTTGTGTGCCACATAAACTGCAACCTGGTGAAACTATCAATTCGGCCCTGTGCTGTGCACAACTTGACCGTTCGAACGAAGCAATACAGAAAGAGCGACCAGAATTGGCCAAAAGAAAGGGTGTTCTAAAGAGAGTTTAGAAAGGGAGTTCTAAAAGGAGACATATTCGATGACTTGGAACAAATTGACGGAACTGGTTGGGAAGTTTTGATGCATTTATCATACAGCCCGAACCTAACACCATCTGACTACCATTTTCTTCAGTGTCTGCAAAACTCTCTTGATGGTAAAATATTGGCCGACCGAAGAGCCGCTGAAAATCATTCGCCCAAGTTTTTTCGACGATAAAGTTCTACACCGATGGAATTATGAAGCTACCCGAAAAATGGCAAAAGATCATAGATAATAATCATCAATATGTACTTGATTAAAACTGATTTTCAATAAAGGAAGGTTTTGTTCAAAAATATACCAAAAAAGCGCGGAGACTTATTATATGACACAATATATATATATATATATATATGTTTGGTATTGCCTATTGCATTAAAAAATGGAGGTGCACGATTAGATGTAGCAGTTCCATGTATAACATTTCAACGCTCTACGGTTAATTGTTTTTGAGGTACGCGAGATGCATAGATACATACGTATAGACGTCATGAAAAAAATCCTTTTCCTAACTCCTTTAAAATCAATTTTATTATTCCTTTTCGGAAAAGCAGTCCTTTATTCTGCCCGTACGTACAGAATTCATGGGAAAAGGAATCATACAAATGGAATCGGGAACGGTCAAAATGGATATTTTCTTTCAAATATGATGGCTGAAATTTTTCGTGGTTACAATACATTCTTTACTTTGTACAATGAAGTAAAAACACGAAATTTAAATATTTATACGGCCTCGTCAGAGGAAAAATATCAACGAGAAAAATAATTTGCGTAACCAAATTAGTTAAAAGAAATATCCTTATGCGATCAAAATTATTGGAAACGACATTAATTAAAATTATAGAGACCATGTTCAAATACCTTTCCCAGATATTAAAGTTTTGAATATACTACAGGCTTTCTATTTAGGTTCTCCAAAGGTGAAAAAAACCTTATTAATAATAATATAAACTCACCAGAAAGGACCTTTTTGAAAATAATATTTCCTTTTCTGGATAAAGTATATAATGTATTTCATTTCATATTATCTTACTTAACAGCCAGTTTCTAATAACATATGAATTCTCTTAATTTCTACTCCGAAAACAAGAATGAAACGCGTAAATTTCATTTCTACAACTTATCAGAATGTATGGATTTTACTGTTTAAGAATATTCAAGTGGGAGGGAAAAACCCCGATATTTCAAATTGAGCATTCTAATAAAATTTTGCCACAGAGGGAAAGAGGGAAAGCTCTATACTTTAAAGTAATTAATAATAATTTAATTAACACTTTACCTGACATCCATTTGAGTGTTGAAAGATTCTATTAGCTGTTTCTTTAGTTCTTTCATCTCGTCATCTGTTAGTTTCTTCTCATCTAGAATTTCAGAAATATTTATTGATTATTGCATGATTAAGTAAAGTTAAATACTTTATGTGCTGTGCCCTATATTTATAAGTTACAGTACCTTTACTAGGATCCTAAGTTTTACTAAGGTTTATTTTATTTTAAAACTGTACTACCACTTCTTATTTTCTGCTTCCGGGCAGAATTAAATGCTTTAACTTGTTTATGCAAATTGTCTTGCTAACGCCCAAGTAATTAAGTTGTGGCTTTTTGACAAGCGAGAGAGAGAAGGAGTTTTAGGAAGCAAGCCGCTCGCCACTGTAGTTTTACGAGTTTTCACTCGGTTGCTGGTTGCCTTTAAGGCCAGAGGTTTAGCCCTCTTGATATTTGCGGACGTATCGTAGTTTTAGCAGCTCGGCGTACTACATACGGACCTTTTTTTAAATAAAGGCCAGTCTTAATGCTAGACATTTGTATACTAATTCAAAGTTAACTTTCAGTTAGAGTTTTAGTTAATAGTTTTTATATTTCTTACGTTCAGACCACAAGTGGTTGGTCTCTGTATTCCGAAGTTCGGAAATACCTGTAAAGTATTGAAAATAAAGGGTTTTCGTATACCCTTCCTGCTTGTGTTGTCTACTTCACACCTTCTTGAGCATAGCTTGAGTAAGCTCTCTGTTCCGATTCAGGACCATTAATGTTTCCAACGCAAATCAAGAGAAACACAAGTCCTGACACCTTAAAGTTTTACACCTAGAATCTCAATTAATTTACTTTTCGCTTGAATGTCTGGAAGGTGTATAGTTATGAGAGCTTATTATTTATGAGAGTTATTATTTATGAGAGCAAGCAGGGAAAAACAACAACAGTAAGATCTCCGAGATTCGAGCTTCAAACCTCACGATTGCCACTCGGACTCAATTCCAATTACATCATGAGGGTACATGGTAAGGAAAGAGAAAACTCTTTACATATTAACTAATGGCGATTCTTTTTTAGTTTTAGACATCGTTCAGTTTTATTCAAAAATATTAGCAATATGAATATTTTCACAACGTATCGAAATTTATTTTCACGTACCTAATTCATTCAATTGTTCATTCAAATTCTTTGGTGGAATTATTTGGGTTATTTGAAATAATACAAATATTAGCGATAATAAGAATGTTAATTTTAACACGTAGTTCTATGTACTGCTATTTAAGTGTTCGTTTTTTAGTACAACAAGAACTACTTTTCTCGATTGTACAGTCAGGTGTTTGCACATTAGGGAATAAATAAAATATAGTACACTATTTTACTTTTTTTTTTTTTTTTTTTTTTTTGTAAATACAGATACTTTTAATCCGTTTAATTTTGTTGTTGTTGTTGTTCACTCGCCGAATATTTTGAATGCCTCCAAGCCGCCCAGACATTATACAGTTACAAAAATTATTGCCTTCTCCGGGATTCGAACCCAGGCCCTTCAGTACGGCTGTCAGACTCACTAGTCCTTATACTGGTTGAGCAGCCCGTTTAATTTTAAAAGTTTACATCATTTCTTTGCTTTCTTTTATTTCTCACTTTACACTTTTCGATTTTTATTTATAACAGCAATTATGAAGTTACAATAAAACTTTCGCAGCCTATAATAACTATGTAGTATTAAATAAAATTCTCGTTATTTAGCCTATGTCATGAATCCCTCAAATACCATTCTTTTACAAACACCATGGAACCCAAAATAAAAATACTTGTATTATAAAATTCTACATATTTGTGCAATATCTAGCATATATTATAAAATTCTAGATACTTGCAATATCTAGCATATATCATATAATTCTAGATATTTCAGGAAAACAATCACAACCTTTATTACCATCAATCGTTTCGTCAGGAGTAGGCGAAGGTTTAGATTCTTGTATCCTTTGATGCAAAGTTTCTATCTCTTGCCTTAGCTCGTTAATGATTGTCTGATACTGAGCCACGTGATATGAAACGTCAGACACATTACTCTTTAGCTAGAAAAAGAAAAAAAGAGAAGCATAGAATGATGATAGTTTGAATATTATTTGTTATAACAGCGTAGAACATTCTTAGTTAGTTCTGTATTGAAGTATTATCATACATGAACAGTTTATAATGCAACCTAGCATTTGACTTCTAAATTTTTCAAAATACCTATTTAGCATAACGTAGAGCACTTTATCTAATTTTTCATTACATTTCAAATGAATTGAATTTGAAGTTAAAACTTAAATATTCTATATATATCGTCTGAATAACTGGTCAGCTCATGATTTACAGTTTAAGAACTAAATAATATAAAAAACATTATTGATAAGACAAAAAAAACTTACGATTCTGAAAATGTTTTGATAAAGGGCCCGCATAAAACTCTTTATTTCATGTATGTTTACTAAAATGTGTCACTTAATCATAAAGAGTTAAGTTGACAGCCCAAACGTTTTGAATCAAAGGCCCGCATAAAACTTTTAATTTCATGCATGTTTACTAAAATGTGTCACCTAACCATAAAATATTTAGTTGACAGCCTAATCTTTTTTAATCAATCTAAAACTAGAAGCATAAGGTCTACGAATAACTAACTATTCAAGAGGTATTTACTCGCACAACGTTTAAGCATGCTGTATGATTAATTATAACTAGTAAACTAAGAAGTCGTTACCCTTTCGGCTTAAATAACTTTCTTAATTTTATTCAAATTTCCCTTTTTAATACAAATGTGTTTTAAGTATGGTAAATGTTTTCACATGCTTATACATTAAATTATAATATATTCATGGCATAAAAGATCATTTTAAGCAAAAAATACCTTGGTGGTGATATTTTTCGCTCTGTCTGCATAGGCTAGAGTGTTTCTAGACTCTTCAAAGTGGAAATGGGAAGGACTGATGTGACCAACCATGACCGTCCTACAATTTCCAGCCAATGGCTCTTTAAGTATGCGTGTAAGCTTACTATCCCGAAAATTAACATACTTGGAATTCCTTTCCGCTGCAACAAACAATAAGAAATTTACATTTGTTGTTATAGTCTCACCGTTTTGTTATAATATATAGTACGGGCCACAAAGATGTTACTACTTAACGTAAATCGAAATTTAAAGGGAAATTGAGTAATATGGTTCACATGTCTTGCAATTTATTATTGGAAACGAAATCATATCGTCTGATATTTTCATTTCCAGTCTTCCGACATCGCGCCTTGCGACGTTTGGCTGGGGAATGGTAAAGGACTTTGCTTTTGCTGTGAAATAGAGAGCTCTTAACGACTTTCATCAATTAATTACCAGCGAGATTCAGTACTTACTTATAGTTATGTGTCAACGTGTCATGCATAGCATATACAATGGATACATTTGTGCACAAAGTAATGTCATGACCAAGCTGTGATGTCGCGAGTTTAATAATTAAAGTGTTTAATAATTCAAGTGAACTGAAGTAAAGTGAAACAAAGTGACTGTCATGCGTACGATATATTGTGTATCATTTCCATATCTACAAGAAACACAAGTAACATACACTGAAAATTAATATGTTCATTTAAGTGATAACATCTTCGTGATCCATCTCTATATATACAATTATAGATGAAAAAATATTAGTTATTGCCAGACTTGTTTGTTCACTTTTTAATTTATTTAATCTTGAATTGATATTCAGACAAATGAAACTTATATAAAAATATGATAGCTTTTTCTATTATATAACATGCATGTTTAATTTAATTTATTATTAAAAGCGTTTTTATAAATCTACAGGCAACAAAATATTTTAACCATCTGTTGAACACGTCACACACACATATAAATTTGCATTTTATTTTAAGCTTGTTATTTCTAGTATTTGTTCCTTTCCAATAGAAAAAAAAATAATGCGAATATAAGATAAAAATATCTTGCTAACAATCATACTCGGAAGTTTTAAGAACGGTAGCTTTTACACGTAATAGAAAACTTTAGATAATTAAACTTAAGGTAATTTATCACTTGTTTTCCAATTTTCACATTAAATAAAAATAAAGTTTTACCTCAAAAGTTAGGTATTGAGATTATTTATCTTTTTTGCATCAAACAATAATATACCTATATACATAGTTGTTTTTTGTGCAATTCTGCCCCTCGCCTAAATGTAAGTTCGTCTTATTTGTGAAATGATCACCGTTTTCGAGAAAGTTTCCTTAAGCATTACGTCTTAGATATTGATCCTGGACATGTCAAAAAATTTCATTGCATATGCTATCCTGTTTTTTGTAAATACGCAATAAAACTCATAAAATATCCAACATATAGCAAAATTTTAGTCATTAAAATAACCATTATGCTTTAAAATTACATATTCAAAATTCCCCATACATTCGCGTGCAAAAATTACACGTAATTAATATTTTCATGGGTAAGCTGAGAATTTTAAGATTAGGTTGATTTTCATAAAAATTATCGTAATAGCAGTGTCCATTAATTTACTGTTGCGAATTTTGTAATTAATTTTAGTGAAATTATACTTAAAATTATAGTATATCTTGTTTAATGTAACAGGAAATGCCTCAAAAAAGAGAGCTCTACCGAAAAAAATAAGATTACAGGGATAAGTCTATTTAACTTTGAGGTAAACGGCTATCTCGTTAAGTTGGCGAGATGTCGTTAAGCTGGCGAAGGTTTTGGCACCTAATTTTTGTCGCCAAATCTGGTAGAAAATCATCAAAAGTCGCCAAACATGGTGACCATTTCGCGACATTTTTGTCCCGTCTCTCTATAAGTGCAATTAGTACTGTAATTAAAAAACTGTAATTGATCTCTATAATTAACTGTAACCGTTTCCGGGTGTATATGCCTTCCAGTAATTTCGAGAAAGGTAAAGTACTGGAAATTTCTCGGCTGTCAGGTGAAAAAACTATGTGAATATGGAAAGAGTATCAGTTCTCAGTTTCTAGTTTAGAGTTATAACTCCGTGCGAGCTTAGCTCTTTATATGCGCTTTGCATTCCGTGCTGTTTAATGTTCTTAGTAGTTTAAAGGGGTAATTACTGATTGTGCTCTGTCATACTAAGAAGAATTGCATGACTGCCTTTGTGGAAAGTTCTGTAACTGTAAATTTTTTTTTTTTTTTTTTTTGTGAGAATAAAGTTTATCAAGCTATCATTGGTTCTGTGTGCATTGAATCCATTAGGAACCTGTACGCACACAAAATTGAACAGCAACTATTTTAAATGAAAACTGCTATTATCTAAATTTTGAGACATATAATAAGGCTGATATATAAAAGTATATTGAATTAAAATAAAAGAAACCCTGACTGTTATCTTTCTTATGAAAAAAAAAAAAAAAAAAATCGTACAAACATGAAAGAATCATACAGTTAAAAAAATTTTGTTTGATAGGTTTAGAAAATCCTATAAATAATACATAGATAAATATTTTCACGATCTAGAACAGCTGGCAAAATTTCTTGCCTTATGCGTCGAAGTAACATATGGCTACAATGCTGCTGTCAATAAATTTATTACTTATAAACAAATATTTATCACCAATTCATCGCTGTATTCATTGATAATATAAGTCTCCTGCAGAGTCATTAGGTTTTTTTTTAGTCATTAGGAGACATGAAAAATGAGGAATGTCCTCGTTGGGGCTCGAACCTGGACCTCTCGAATACGCGCCGAGTGTGCTACCGTTACGCTAAGAAGGCATGGTGGAAGGAGGGAGAAAATACCTTATAATCATCTTAACAATTTTGCATCTCATTCCGTAACACGTACAAGCAGAATAACTTCCGTTTGAAATAAATTCAAATTTTATGAAATTTGCCATTGTTTAACTAAAAACAAATCACATTTATGCGGTGCTGCATCTGGTCGTCCTAATAATATGTCAGATACCAGGGTATTTTTCTGATGAAGGTATATCAGCTACATTTTACATTATTGACTATGTAATTCACATCCTAGCTTCTTAAATCAAAGTAGATAATTTTTTAAAGTTTCAGCAATAGAGGTTAGACGGTTTCGCATGTTATCAAATCTAACTTTTCACGTGGATATAATATATTAAATGTCCAATTAACGGAATGTTCATTATCCTTCAATATATTTTAAATCAAAAGATTTCCATATTTTCAAAAGAAACATTGGAGAAGATATTAATGAAAGAATCAGATTACTTTTAAATGATTATTACTGAACATTTTCGAGATAGTCAGATTCATAAAGAACTTACAAAACAAATAGTTATGTAAGTCACAGATAAAGTTCCTTATTAAGTAAAAAAGTAAATTAATGTTTCTTATTAAGTAAAAAAGTAAATTAATGTTTCTTATTAAGTAAAAAAGACTAGCTATTAAATTCATAAACGCTTCAATGCGTTGCTAATGGCTTTTTATTATATACAGTAGACTCCCGATTATCCGGGCCTGCCGCACAAAGTTTTTTTTTTTTTCAAGCATAAAGCAAAGAAAATATAAATGTTCACAAAACTGAGCGAAACGTTAAATTTGCTAAACATCGTACTTATTTATAGCAAAAATATCCCAAGCCTTCTCGGAACCTTCCCCTCTGATTAGTAAGTGATTTTAGACTCACCCTTACAGTGCCCGCTCCACCGCCCTCTCTCGTCTTAATCTTACTGACACGTCCACTTCCTCCCACTCGCCATTGTTAGTTTAAGCCTGATAGTGTTTGCGAACCGGTCGGAGTTAATTTCTTATCTTTTATTGTGTTCAGTGCTTGTGCTTTTTGGTTTTGTGTTTCTCGTTATCGATTTAAAATGTCACGAAAACGAAAGAAGGTTGTGTTGACGATTGCGCAAAAACTAGAATTTAATTAAACTAGAATTAAGTAGCAAACAGCAGATGGAATTGGATTACGGAATCGCGGAAACAACAGTGCGTGACATTCTAAAGCAAAAAGACAAACTGGTGAGCTTTGCATCAATGTCGGACAGTGCTTCCGCAATGAAAACGCGAAAAATTATGAAGGGATCTACCTTTGATGAGCTAGGCACGGCATTGACAGAGTGGTTAGTTCAAGTTCGAAAAGAGGGTACTCCTGTAATTGGTCCTATCATTGCGGCGAAGGCAAAAACCTTTTTTGAGTTGTTAGGCCTGAAAGGAAATTTTGATGCGTCTTCTGGCTGGTTGACTCGTTTTAAGCAGCGACATGGAATTCGAGAAATTGGACTTCATGGGGAGAAACGTAGTGGTGACCAACAAGCAGCCGATAATTTCCACCATGAATTTGAAGCATTTGTTTTAAAAGAAGACCTATCTTTTGAACAAATTTACAATACCGACGAATCGGGACTTTTGCGGAAATATCTTCCTACTCGCACTTTAGCATCTGAAAGCGAAAGTAAAGCGGCAGGTCATAAAAGCAGCAAAGGAAAGGATCACTATCATGTCTTGTAGTAACGCTACCGGTGGACATAAACTTAGACTTGTCATTGGAAAGTCCCAAAAAAAAAAAAAAAAAAAAAAAAAAAAAAAAAAAAAAAATCTTTTAAAGGCACAAAAATAGAAAATTTTCCCTTTGATTACTTTAACGAAAAAAAAAAAAAAAAAAAAAAGGATGGATGAACCGAAACATTTTTCAAGAATGGTTCGAAAAAATCTTTTTTCTTCAAGTGCGTAAACCTCTTAAATCAAAAAACTTGCTGAAAAAGCTGTGCTATTGATCTACAACGCACCTTCTCACCCAGCAACAAGCGTGCTAAAGTCTTCTGATGGACAAATTTTTGCAAAGTTTCTCCCCCCAAACGTTACTGCGCTAACCCAACACATGGACCAAAGAGTCATTGCAACAATGAAGAGAACATGAGAACATACCGAACCAAGCTGCTAATGACCAAAATTGAAGAAGGTTACGATCTGAGAGAGTTTTGGAAACATTACACAATCTTGGATAGCATCTACGATATTGCATCTGCATGGGACTCAGTGAAACCGTCAACCCTCATAAATTCATGGAGAAAACTCATGCCTAATGTTGAAGCCAACAACAATGTAACCCCTTTGAGTTGTGAAGAAGAGAATTAGACACGCCTACGGCAACTCTTGCCGATATGGTGAAAACAGTTCCGGGTGGTGAGAACGTCGATGCTGAAAACATTAACGAGTGGTTGGAGTGTGACGTCAACGAACCTGGCTTCGAACGCTTGACAGATGACGAAATTGTGAAGAAAGCAAGGGGAGAGACTGAGAATGAAGGACAGCAAAGTGAAGGCGAAGAAGAGCCCACTGTGCAGATGCAGAAGACTCAAGCGGCTAAGCGGCTTTAGAACAAGTCGACAGACTGCTGAACTATTTGGAAGAACAAGACGACGCGGAGTTGGCCGAGAAACTTATGCTACGAAAAATGCAATCTCGGATCAAGAGAAAATGCTTCCAAAGCAAGAAGCAAACACAAATGACTGATTTCTTTAAAAAGGTGTAGTTTTACAGTTATGCTTTTGTAATTACATAACACATTACAGTATTAAAACAGTACATATGTATTAATTTTTCCGTGTATCCTTGACGCCTCTCGTAAGTACAAAACACTTTTCTGTTTTCAGTAACAAAATGCATTTTAGGTTAGTTTTGAGTGATATACTAAACTATTAAGCATTAGTTAAACATTTCCTGCTGTTTATTTTAAGTTTTATTGTACATAAAACGATTTTTCAAAGTTGGAATAACTGTTTTCTCTTTTGCTATACCCGTTTTTAGGTTTTTTCGGATTATCCGCGATTTTCGTTATTCGCGGCAGCCGCGCCACTCAATTACGCGGATAATCGGGAGTGTACTGTATCTAGGATCTTTATTTATTACTAATTACAAATGCTTCCCTAAATCTTACACGTAACTGTATAGCAAGTTTTGCATTCAACTTATAACAGCGTAATAAAAGTTTTGTCACTTGAACTTTTTGCTTTAAAACTATATAAAAATTAAGGATTTTAAATTTATGGAATCTTCCTAAGTGCTGAAACTATTTATATAAATTGTCTACCATAATTTTAGAAAGCTTTGTAATAATTGGAAGAACAAAATCAATAGTTCTGTAATTATCGAAAGCAATAATCATGGAGTGGTAAAAAAAAAATAGCACCTTTCTCAGATACCCTGTACGTCTCCGCAGAAAAAGAATAAAGAATTGTCTTACGGTATTTCAGTTCGTTTATTCGAATCAATAAGGTGCAGTTTTGCAGTCTATAAATTCTTACGATTTTGTACAGACTAAATTTCAGTTTTTGAGTTGACGCAATGGATTCACATTTTCATTTTAATAATATTTGTTTTAGCGTTAAAATATAATTCAATATTTTAATATGTATTTCAGAATTGAAAGTGTTAAAAATTAAGACAAGGAATAGGCATAATAAAATTACTATATTGTATTGATTAAAATATTGCATAGTAAAAATTGACAAAAGCATCCATTATATATTACGATTTTGTATTAATCAACATTGTTATATCAGTACTACAAAAATACTGTAGTATACATTTCATAATGAATCACAGATAAAGTTATTAATTTGAAAATCAATTAAGGAAGCGAAATTAGCAAAATTTCTGTAAGTCAGAGTCTTCACTTTTCAAACAGAAACCATTTCGATAATAAATTTTATTTTTAATTGGATTAGCTAACAAAAAATCTCCATTCACTTTACAAAGATAAATTTGCACTGAGACGAATTTCAATCGATAGCAGACCAGAACACGTCTATTTTACATACACGCCAATAAAAGAATAAAATTTTAACTGTGTTTGTTAGTTATGCTCTTTACCCACGCAAAGCTATTGTAACAGTATACACAGAGGTTCAGTTAAATATCGAATTTGCTTCAGCTGGAATATAAATCTTTTGTTGCGTTTTATTATATCTCAAAGCTTTACAACTTTATTTCATAACGAGTTTAAGCAATATTCCAGAATATAAAATGCTATATGAAAGTGCAGAGAACACCAAATATACAGCTTAAATGGAACCGCAGCCAACCGAGTACCAAATAAAAGACAGACAATTGAGTTATCTTTTCCATTTTGTTTTGGGAGGGATGGAAGATTTTGTTTGTACGAGGGTTGTTTGTTGACCAGATAAGTTTTACTTTGCCCGAGCAACATAATTTAGCTTTAAATTAAAAGAATTATTTTGAGCTAAGTTTGTATAATTAGAAAAAGTAAATATATTTATATCCGAAAAATAAAGTTAAAAAATTGTTTTACAATTTTTTTCAGTATTTCTTTTTTGTGTACTTTTAACTTGCTTTCTTCTCGGATGCATACATGTATTAACTAATTATTACACTTTAAGTTTTCGCTTGATATTCTTCCTAGTCAAACAAATTTTTTATATTTAAGAATCAAAAATCCCATACAAAAGACAACTCAGCATACACTTTAAAGCCGATATAAAATTAGATAAATGTGGGAAAACAATTCTTTCCGCACAGACGAGATCGTCATAATGTCATCACATTTATTTAGTCTAATGTTGTTTAGACAATTAGCAGCTCTTGCGGATAAAAACTACTTCTCGGTGCAAACCAAAGAGAAAAAGTAGAACAATATATAATAATATTATTATTTCATTCTTAATGCTGATAGGCTACATATTTACTGCATCTTGCAGGAAAAATCTTCATCCCGTATAAATATTTGAATTATTTAAAAAATTTCTTTGGAAATATGGATTGTACTGTACTTTTATTATTATTTAAAACAACTAAATAGTTAAAAACTTGAAAATAAACAAACTTAATTTTACTTCACCTAGAAAAAGAATAGGTGATACTGATACTGGAGTTCTGGATATCTGAAATTCGGATAAATGAATTCTATTGCATTTCATTATCAACAGTCCTTATAGCATTTAGAATAGTTAATAAATGCTGCAAGGGTTTTAAGATATAAAATTTGTCAAATAATACCTTATCTCATCATTATCAGAGATTTAAATATTTTTCATATATTTAGAAGATTAAGCATTACTAGATTAAATAATACATGTTAATTAAGTTTTCATTAATTATGGCAAAGAGAATAACGAGTTAATTTCTTTTTATCAAAATATTATTTATAAAAACTGAAAAATTATTTAAAAAATGAAATAATTTTTTAAACCGGAATTATAGTTAATATAATTTACATAAAGCTAGTTCAGACCTAAAGCATTTATACAGTTGCCAAGAGCCAAAAGAGACTTGTTGATGTGTGCTCCTTCAAGCAGCCGTTTTCCTGTATTCTAGAAAGAAAAGATACTTGAGATTTGTGACAAAAATTATCTCATTTCATTAATTTCATAATCTTCAAGAACTAATTTTTCACGAACAGGCAAATGCTCTTAAGTTCAATGGAATGTGATATATGTATTACTTGAATCATAACTCACGTATTTCTCTTTAAATTTTAATTTGTATTTTCACTACAAAAGCAGTTTAATGTTTTGATATTATTCTTCCCTTTCATATTTTATTTCACGCTTAACATTTTTTGTATTATATACATATCCCACCCTTTATGAAAGATAGTCTCACACCATTTCGCTTTTGTGGAAGATCTCATTAGTAGCTTTCTCGATTTACGAAAGAAATCAGAAAAAGATTTTTAATTTTACTAAAGCATAGGCGAGGGGCAAAACGTCTAACCCTTATTTCTTTAGTGATTGAATAAAATACGATTTTAATTTTGAAACATGCAAAGAAATTGAAAACTTTTGCAGCGCATTTTGATTACTAGGGAAGAAATATAAAGAGCAAAAAATTGTTATTCAAACATTACCTTAGCAATCACAGCAGCTCATAAATATTATCTTTTACTCTGGGATAAGATGGTATTTGAACTATAGAACACTACAAATAAAGAAGAAACTAAAACAATAAAATCTGACAGCTATAGGTGACGAAATTTCCCTACTATAGCTCAAACTTTTGCATCTATCTTTATCTAATTTCCCATCACTCAGCTTAACGAAGTATCCTCTGTCTGTTATTTAACTACACGTGCATTGCGAGTCTCATGTTTATTAGTATTATTTTAGGTTTTATGTATTCCTTTTTATGCTTTGATAAGTATTTTTGGCGGTCTGGAAAGCTTAAAATGTTTTCCCAAATGTAAATGATGGTAATTGATTTTTCATTTCACGTCGTCTTGGTTTACGAAGATTTTCACAAAAATTCTGTTTTCTAAAAGCGCAATAAACACGAAAACCTATCATGTCGGCCACTTCAAATACGTTGATATGTTTAATGCAATAACACTGAAGACATGAAAAATTCTTTGCATTGTTAGCTAGCCATCATAAAGCTTTTCCCTGTCGTTCAGCAGGTATTGAACAGCCATCTATCGTTATTTTGGATTTCTGAATTTCTTTATCCAAAGCAACACGCAAGCATCGGTATCGAAATGTGACACAAATCGTATTTTGATAACAATTTCAGTTTGTATTCCACTTGACCTTTAAATTGTACTTGACCTTTACAATCAAAAGGTTTTAAATCTGGAGTGGTGATTCCAATATATTGTTCTTGCAAATCCTTACAGTCGTACGTCCACGGGATCTAGAATTATCATCGAGCAACTACACTGTATAGTTTTTTAGCGATGATGCTTAACTGCAAAAACTGGAGGTATCTTTCATTACTGATTGTTTATCGTGTCTTCAATAGTTAATACCAAATGCCTCTAGTACATGGCGAACATGGGCCCGAACAATCAGACGTCAGGTAAGTTCGAACAATGGTCACTGTATGTTCCTAACGATTTCTTTATTGCTTATAAGCTCTCAAATTCCTTGTGCAGCAACATACGTTATTGTTCTGGATTAAGTTTATGCGGACCCAGGGACCCATTTTTCATTTCTCTTGCACATATGCAATTCCTTTATTTCAGTACCATGGTAAGTTTATATCAACCATTAGCATTTTCGAATCAAGGAACACGAAAGACCAATCGTACTCTCACCCGGATTCGAATCAAGGATCTTTCAATTGCTACTTAATCGCTCTCATCACGAAAGCCCGCAATGGGGAATTCTGTAACATTCTTCTCCAATTAAATGATAGCTGAGAAGAATCATAAGATCCAGTCTTCCACTTTTAGGTGGCGACGAGTTATTTCTCGCTACATTTAGTTTAGACACCCTTGCAAAGACCACTAGGATTTTACAAGTGGGAAACCCGAAAACGTTATTGTATTTCCGCTCGGATTCGACACCACGAATTTTCCAGCTGCTCGTGCTAACCACTTATATAACAAGAGTACGCAAGGTAGATATATGATAAGTCCCTACACGGAGTCCTACAAGGATATATGATAAGTCCCTACAAGGGGAATATGATACGTCCCTACACGAAGCCGATATCTAATGCAGGAAAGTTTTCTTGACATCTTCGAACCACATTGTTGATTTTACGTTTACTTCTGTGACTCTCTCCATAGTCCTCGATGACTTCCGAGTGGCCACGCTTGTAATGGCGAAAGCAGTCCTAATTGCTAGTTTTATTCAAGGCTTTCGCCCTATCTGCTATGTATTTCTTCTATGTATGATAGCCTTTCAAGAAATATGAATGTTGTAATTCCACGATGCGAATACAGGTCAATCGAATTTGTCCATTTTTGTACTGATCATTTGACTTTGGTCCACTTCTCTTCACCTCGTTGATTTTACGTTTACTTCTGTGACTGACGAATGATATGCACTTGATACCTAACATAAACGATTTAATTGACCAAAAAACCAGACACTTACGTGCACAAGTGTTGTTCAGCGACACCAAGTAGAGAAAAGATTTAATATAAATGATACAAAAAATTAAACCACTTTGTTTCATTTATCTTTATAGAGCCTACTGAAATAACTAAATCTCATATATAATTTTGTTTTAATGAAAAGATTATCCTTATACTTTTAATATTAGCTAAAAATTTAAACCTCCTTTTTGATAATATAAAAGTTCATAACATATCGAGTAATTAAAATATCATTAATTAAAATAAAATGTAAGCCGAATTTAAAACATATTCTTAATAATGCATTCAATATGTACAATTATCAACCATTTTACCTGTGTTTGTGCCGCTCTTTCAGATCCAGCTAAGTCTACCATGTACAAGCGACCAGTTCGCATTTTCTGCTCATGGCTATGCGCAGGACTCCGTTTCTTTACCTGAACCATAAGAACTGCGTGAGATCTCGAAGATGTTTTGTTGGCTCCAGTAGACTCTTGAGTTCTTCTTTTGTTGCCTCTCATTAATAATGACATGACCTTGCCAAATAAAATTGCATGTTATGTCAAAATCTTACGCTGTAATCTTTGGAGAACTTAAATACAATTTACTTTGAGTTAAAAGTTTCCTAAACGAGGCTTATAATAGATTACTCTTTTATTGAAATTTTTAGGCAAACGTTTATTAAATTTTCTTAATAAAGCAAAATTTTTAAGAATGTAAGTCTGATAAATTCAGAAATAATCTTTATTTTTGAATGCTGCAACACTTTTATAAATTTTATATATTCAATAATTAGAACATTTATTTTCGAAATATTTCAAATGTTTCTATCATATTCTATCGAAACTAAGATTAACGATAACCGTATAGTTGGCTCAATAATGAAGAATACTTCATCACTCATTTTAAAACTGAGAGCCAGAAATGGTTAGTCTGAAGGATAAATAACTGTGAAATTCCGAGACAGGCACAAAGCTTTTCGAGCTGAACGTTTAGTTCAATTGTGAATAAAAAGGATTTCTTTAAAGAAACAATAACTGCTACTCTAACAAATACACAAGCGATAAAGAAAGGACAAAAATTTGTTAGTAGAATTACAGAGTGCATAGTGTAAAAGTAACTGTCTTATGCACTAGGAAAACAAAGGTTCGCGCGGCTCTTTTTTCTGCTATTTACACTTTATTGTGGTAGATTGAATCGAATGCGAAAACTCCTATGATACTTCGTATCATACGTTTTTAAAGTTATTTGGTAACTTTAAAAAGTTACCGTATCGATATATTCGCACCATTTAATAAACGACATACAATCTGTCTAGAGCCCTTAGCCTGTCGAGTTATTTTCTACAAATACCCATAAATAATAGTACCTGTAGATTTGAGTTGTCAAGAAAGTTGCAAATGACTATAATAGCTTCTCCGTGATGACCGTCCGAATGCCGCAGGGTGCGAATGCTATCTTAAAAAAGTTTCCTTTCCTAAAAGACTCTTATTTTGAAATAACTTGATTTTAAAATTTACCCGCTCTTCTTTTATTATTATTATTTATGTTTAATCTAAGTTACCTAAATCTCTGGGTCATTGATTATCATCTGAATTTCAATGCAGATTGGTTAAACTGCTATTAATAAAACCCATATTAAAAATATCTGGTGCAATATTCATTCATTCAGTGAGATTGCTGAAACATTTGAAAAGCAATGTTTATAGTTCGATTGCATTTGCTATTATTTCTGATTTTCATTGTTTTTGTCGCCCACCAGCGGCCGAGCGGTAAAGTCGCTGAACACTGGTAGTTCGGTCCGAGGTTCGAATCCCGCGAACGGGCTGGCTGCATGGGTGTTTTCGTGGTTTTCCCCATGTGTAACGTGTATACGAGCCAGTTTCCCTTAGAAAGTCCTCCACGAAGGCATCCCTCCCCTTAGGCAGATAGCCCTTGAGGCTTTGCCATAATTACACCACACACACATTGTTTTTGTCATAAATTAGAAATGCATTTACATGCAGATAATAATTATTTTAAATAATTTCTTTTTATTTAAATATTACCTATAATTTAAGATATTTAGCATAATATTTGAATAATTATTATGAAAAATATCTGTTTTTATTATTTCTCTGCCAAATTTAATCAACTTAACTTGATGTGACTTTTAAATTTGCTTTTAGAGAAACTCTAGTTAAATATTAAGGAGATTTCAAAATTTAAACTTTTAAGGCATATTTAATGCTGAAATTTACTTAGTTTTTAAAACGTATGTTATTTTCAGAAAATATTTCGCTTTTTGAATGAACAATATATACTTAATGTATACCAAATATGTTCTTTTAAGTAAAGTTAATTATTCAGCGAGCTAAGATTTGGTAACTGAATATCTTAATTTCAAGAGCGGAACAACATTTTCATGATTATACCAGGATAGCTAGCTGATTTGAAAAAGGGATGGGTTTCAAATGTGACTTTTTCATCTGATTTATGAAAACAAAAAATTAGGTGATTTTATAAGGTATTTCTCCCACTTCCCTAGCGTGCCTTCGTGGTGTAACGATAGCACGCTGGGCCGGTATTCCAGAGGTCCGTGGTTCGATTCCCGGCGAAGGCGATTGCTTATTTTTCATCTTGTCTGCTTCCAATCAACCTAATGACTCTACAAGTGGCGCCCGAACTAAAAGGGTTGTGGATGATGATTCTCCACACCCAGGATTTGGCGACTAGGTTCCCTAAAACCCTAGTCGCGCTTTAAAAAGGGGAGTATATAAGGTATTTCTCCCACTTTCCAAGTGTCCTTCGTGGTGTAACGGTAGCACGCTAAGCCGGTATTTCAGGGGTCCGCGGTTGGATTCCCGGCGAAGGCGTTGTTAATTTTTCATCTTGCCTCTTTCTAAAAAATATCTAATGTCTCTACAATTTCAGGATATAGCATAAACATTTGCTTTAAATATCTTCTCGATCTCAAAGAAATTAAATTTGCCCTAGGTATAAATAAATAATAATGCCTTTGTTTCTGCTTTTTCTTTAGCTATAATTTCGAGATTTTTTTTAATACAAAAATTATGGTATTAACTTTTAAACACCTGATCTGTTTTTAAGAGCAATAAACAAAACATTTAGGAGTTATTTAAGGGCTGAAACAGTGATAATATCAGTGTCAAATTTGCATTTCACTTTTTTTATACGTTCAAGATATTCTGAAATTGAATTTTAACCTGAAATAGTTTTTCTTTATGAATTTTCAGTGATCATAAATTTATTGACTAATTAAAAAAAATTCTTGCCTTCCCGTCCTTGAAACACCAGTACACTTTGTCTGAAATAGGATTAAAAACATTATCCTATAACAGAAAGCTGAAAAGGAAAGATGACACATAGTTAATAAGAAACAATACAATGTTGTTATTTTATTAGCTTATAATATAGTTGTTCAGTATGGTATTTTTGTAAATAAAGGGTATTATTGTACATTTTGTAAAAAATAAGTAAGCATTATATTTAATAATTATAACAATTATTAATTATTTAATAAGTCATTATAAGAATATAATTCAATATTTTTTGTGGAATATACTTTTTGAGGATATTTTCTTCCCTAGGAATCCCAGCATTCAATTGTTTGAAGCATTAAGTTCTAAGAAATTGTCTTGCTTCAACGCAGAATTAATTATTCACATGAAGTCCCTTAACCAAAGAAAATGCCTTTACAAGGGTGTATTTTTGAACAACAGCTTTTATTAGAATAAATATTTTATTTTAATACTATTACTAATATACAAACAAATATTTACGTTCACTAGAGTGAATAAGAGTATTGGATGTTGATGTTTGTTCTGGATTTGTCGCTAGCAACCAAACAAGTTAGCGGCTTGGTGTCTTTATAATTTTCCCATGCGTTATGCGAGTTCAAGCCAATTTCAATTTTGAAAATTTTCCAAGAAGGTATTCTCTTAAAACAGATAGTCCAGGACTATTTTAACAACTGTAAAAAAATAATCTATGGATATTTTTTGTTATACGACAGCACGAGCAAAATGATTTTCTCTGCAAAAACATATGCACCAGCACTGATTATCGGCCGCCTTTAAGTTAACTATATCTTCTTATTCTTTGCAGTACTTTTTATTTTTTTCAAAGAAAGTTTTGTCAGTAAAATGCACTATTTATAATCTGTCATTTTATTTTGTTCTTCTGTTATGTAAATAACCAACTTAAAAAATACATATTTCGTAAGCTGAGAAAGCCCAATAGCGCGCGAGCGGTTTCTTTCTATTCAAAACTGTTTAGCGCATGTTACCTTATTATAAAAATCTGATGTGTACACCACATGACTTCCTTGTACGGAATATTAAATTATATACGCATTTTTTCTTGCATTTCGTTTAAACTTGGATTGGATTGAATTAAATCTACTTCGCCGACAGCGCAAACCACACATATAAATAAATGCATTCTTAAAAAATTCACTCTATATTGTTTACCATAGCGACACTCTGGCGCTAGATTCACTTAACAGTATTATATTTCGTTCATATTATAACACAGAATGCACAAAATTTATATCATTTAAAGAATTATCTAATCGTTGCCTCATGTTCTATTCAAATCCTATAATAAAGCTAGAACGATGTATAAAAGCAATTAAGCAAACAAAACAAAAAAGAAACAGTTTTTCACAGACGATTGAGTATTTCTCATTCAATTAATTCAGTTTTCACTTCGCGACAAGGCAAAAATACTAAAACATCTGTATTAAAAATTCGAAGTAAATCTTAAACACTTCGTATTTGACATATAAGACGCACTTATTTAAACACAAATGTAGATGCAGAAAAAAGGTATAACCTTTATCTAAAAATCATTCAGTATTGAAAGTTACCTGTGTCCTTCACGTATAAGACGCAGGTAACTTTTTTGAGACCAAATTTAGGAAAAATGTGCGTCTTATATGCCGTTAAATACGGTATTTCTTCGAAAAAATTACAGAAAGAATTAAGCATGATTTAATTCGCAATAATAAATGAAGGCGTTATCTTTGTTGCTGCGAAGCTACGTTTCTCTAGATTGGCAACAAATCCACTACCCTGCTGTTTCAAATGTAAACCGGCAATGGCCGCCATAAAAAAATTATTAGGCTTAGCGGCACTTAAAAGAACTTTAAATTTGATGATAATTCTAAAAATATTGCATACAGATTTACTAAAGGCATAAAAACCTTAATCGGAAGATAAGAACAACATAAGTCAATCATTTTTAAAAGCAAAAAATGTACAATTTACAAACATATAAGAGTAAAGAAACTGAGATCACTGAGCCGAGTAACAGAGTGGATATATATATAAATATATTATATACGTTATGCGCGGCTGATTGCAACCAAAATACGAGGTGCACATCTACATGTTATAGTAGTCCTATATACAAAATTTCAACGTTCTCAGGTTACTCGTTTTTGAGTTATGCGAGATACATACGTTCGTACAGACGCCACGAAAAATTCTCTTCAGAATTCATTTTAAAGCAGTTTTATAATTTTATCGGAGGA